ATCACGCATATACTCTGTACGTAAGATGACGTTATCCACACATGTATTTAGCTTTGTTAGATCTTTAGTTAAGTTGTATAAGACCATACAAAAGTCTCTGTACTTTTTGTTGTGTCAATAAAGAATCTCACTTTGGAATATATGAAAGATTTTAACAAACAATGGTCAAGAGAATGATGATACAACCCAAGGAAAAGAATCAATGACACAAAGATATACAATCATATTACAATGTATTATAATTTATGATATCCCACATACAATGATAATGATAAAGATGATTTGCATAACAAGAGCAAACAAGAGCAGTTACTGTAGAAGACTTTAAAACATAATGGTAAAATGTCATTACCTGTTACAACTGTTACTAGAGTTGACAAAGGCATGCAAACGAAAGACAGAATACTAGTATATAGTTCACTGAAAAAACTATACATGGACAACAGGCGGGCATATGGGCAGTTGTCCAGTACAAGTGGTTTGACATTGCCTGAACTCTTTGCTGTCCTGACAACACATTGGAACAGGAAGCAGGGTGACCTGCTGTGACCTGGCTGGAGGCTACAGATTAGGCAGCAGGTGGAAGGACTGTTTTCCAATGGCTGTTTCAACGGATGAGTTAGAGTGTGCATTATAACCCCAACGGTTAGCGACCCTGGTGGATGTCCTTGTTGAACTACTAATTTCCTAATACCAGCCCAGATTTAGAGAAAAAAATAGCCATGCCTTCAAGTACCAGAGTTATCAACCAAGGATTGAGGTGTTCAAGAATTCATTCTTTCCTAGAACTACTCTATCACAGAGTGGGACTTGCTGCCACCTACAATAAAATGTAGTAGGGGCATTGTCATTAGATACATGTAGCTTGAAACAATGTCTAGAGTTAGATGTTCAAGGGTTAGGTGTAACAAGTCGATCGGTGTAATGTAGCCAGCTGCCGCCGCGTGCCTGCGAAGCTGGTGTGTTACACCAAAAGTGCGGTTATACCGGCTATACAGATACAGATACAGACCGTGCTCCCTGGACCAAGAGGTTTGGAGTTCGAATCCTAACTACTGTAGTCGCTCACCCGACATTCATGCCACTGGAAAGTCATTTCCATGTTAACTTTTGTCCTGACCATTTTTCTTATCCATTTTTCTGCATCAGTTCCATTTCAGAATTAGATTTCCAAATATAGTATATTGTAGTTAATATTAATGATGCGGGTGTGTTGCTTTTATGGAGGAATAATCGATCACAATGTTTTTTTAGTTGCCTTTTGTGTTGTAAGACCAAAACAAGCAGATCAGAGATGAAGAATAATTTCTCTATAAGTTATCAATAACTAGAAGTAGAACCAAGGAAGGCTAAGTAAGTTTTGTTGTATTGAGGTCAAAATTTAATTTTGTTTTGTGCAGAGGCCTTGGAAGTGGGAAAGAAAAAACTATTGACCTAGTAAATATCTCTTGATACGTGGCCTGATTAAATAATGCATTACAAGTTCAGTATTTGGGTCATAGATATGTTTGTTCGTTTTTCGTTTCTGTTTTTTCATTGAGTCTTCAATATCACTTCTATCCGAACCTCCAGTACATTATTTATTACTTACAATAATTGTTTTACATAAAAATTCTCCTTAGATTTATGAAAATATGACAAAAATGTACATCAAATCCAAGGAAAAAATTCTCTGCGATCCTATGGTCTGTGACTGATATCAAATATGATGTCTATTTGAGTTCCGCTGCAAGAATTTTTGCCTCCAGTACTATTCCTACTACTCTCCATACTAGACATTCCAATATCCAAACTCAAACCATGCCTTTCACAGGTCATTAGAAGCAAGTCTCATACTTCACATTCTGCTGGTACAGTAACAGGGAGATCTAGAGGCTGCTTCGGAAAATACAGCAGGTCACAATGTGTTAAAAAGATTCTAGAACATAGGAATGCATTCGTTAACATTAAAATTTTACTAAAAACTAAGCTTAAGTGCACTGTGAACCAAGTAACAGTGCACTGTGAACTATGTAACACCTTTAGTGCACTGTGCACCAAGTAACATCTAGCGTCAGTACACAGTAAACCAGTCAGAATTGCCCTGATGAAGATGACAGACGGTCATCGAAACGTCGGCTTGAAAAATAAATGGTTGTGATCAAAGAACTTTGCTGTTCATTAGTTTAACAACCTGATGAAATTATTTATGGATATAGGAATGTTTTAAAATACCGCTAAAGGTACGATAATATTATACATTGTATGTAGCACTGCCTTTTCAAGTTGAATCCTGAAGTGAATTATTAAATGAATTTGAAGAAAAGTTTATACAGCTTTGACTGACATTAAACAATGAACATGAAACAGTTTAACAAGCAAGCTACAATTTTGTAGGAAATTTTGTTGTTTTTTTTCTTTTTGTTTGCTTTTTGTTTCAATCACTAAAACGGTCCCTAATTTAAGGGTATCAAGCTCTAAATACCTTAATTGAGTTAGGCATTAGTACAAATCCTCAGGAGCCGGCAATTTCTGGATAGTACCAATCAAGACTTAGCATTAAGCACCTCCAAACATTAAGCTGAATGGGCTACCCAGCCGTTTTATGATGAAATATTAAATAAACCACCACAATCCCCATTGCAAAATTTTCAACTGCAAGAAACAAGTTGATGTACATATGATGTACATTTAGCCATCCTGATTTTAGAACATTTTGTTTTCCCCTAAAACCTGGGCTTACCAGTATATTACATTAGGCCACAGCAAGTAATTTTTATGGATGACATCATTTTTGGAGAAAAAAAAAACACAAGAAATTTTGTTGCCTTCGAATTCTGACAGGTCAACATGCCGAAAATGGGCAAAGATGTCTGTTGCCATGCCAGAAGGTCGATAGCTGATAACTATGAAGAGAGGAGACAAGAAAAGGCTCTGATTTAATGTTTTGTTTCTTGCTTTATGCAGTGATATGTGATGTTGGCTGTGCATACTTATGTGATGTTCCCACTGAATCAAAACCATTTATACCATGATTGAGTCAAAATTTAAAAATGTAGGAACCTTGTTTTTTTCGGCCCGCCTTGTTTTTTTTTCGCCCGCTCATATTAGATTTTGAGTCTGCGGAGGATGTCATCCATAAAATTTACTTGCTGTGGCCTTATACAATATACTTGTACCAAAGGGGTCCAAACCAGTTTTATATCACCATAAAAAGCAGCTTGTATTACATTATAAACTTGTACCTATTATAACCAGTTTTATATTACCAAGAAAGCAGCTTATATTACATCATACACTTGAACCAAACCAGCTTTATATTACAAGAAAAGCAGCTTATATTTTACACTTGTATCAAACCAGTTTTATGTTACCAAAAACAACAGACTAGCCTATAATTATGTGGCCCGCATACATGTATGATCCAGTGACCAGGAGATATTATGTCTGATGTAAATTCTGAAAGTCGCAAATCTTTCTGACAGCTGGCCATATGTACAGGGTATTTGTGTGTTTCCCAGATGCATGTAGCAAAGTAAAATATACCTGTGATCAACGTTAGCCTTCATAACTACAGCTGTGGCATATGGTTACATACTTAAACTTCAGTTCTGTAAATTTCACATGGAAAGACTGATTCTGGTGTGGGAAAACATGTGGTTTTAACGACACCACAGATGTGACCGTTAGCTTGCAAAGTGCTATTTAGTATTCTAAATGGTAACTTGGTATTCTAAATGGGTACTGTAATTCCTCTATTTTTTCACGGTAATTTCATGTTAAACTTTTCAGTTTTTGTGGTCACTTCTGTTCCACGACTTTCTTTTTTGCTGCACCCAAAAAAGTGCACCATTCATACAATATGTAAGGGGGAACTTTGAAAGAGGCATTTCAAAGAAATTTTCAATAGCATTCTGTCCAACCGAAGGCTAATCATTGCCCACAAGCATCTAAAAACAAGACCATGCCTTGCTCTGTCATCCAAACACTGATCTCTCAATTGGACATAAACAAGTGGACAGAATTTCTAAGACCTTGAGACCCAACTCAGTATCCTTTCCATGGACAACAGTAAAAACAAGACCATGCATAATGTTCTTTTATCAAAACTCTGAAGTCTTAATTGGACATAAACAAGTGGACAGAATTTCTAAGACCTTGAGACCGGTATCCGTTCCATGGATAACAGTAAACACCTGAGCGAGCTTGGGCGATCGCTTTGGTATGGAAATTGCGGCCGACCACACTAGAGCCAACAATGCTTCAGCAGCAAATGGAGCAAGAAAATCCCCGATAACCATCAGAGTGAAATCCCTCTATGGAAACTATGCACCTGCTCCGCTTGGAGATGCCTCTCTAGCCTCAATAGCATGCCAAAAACTGGGGGTTTTGGGAGCCTTCATGGTCTTTGAGATCTTTTATGTGCTATTTTCTGATTGCATATAGACAACATAGCCGGCCTGGTTGAATTACCCCCGGTTTTTTAGAACTGGGCTAATCAGAAAACAGCCGAAGACCACCAAATCTCCAGTTCTATAAGCCTGCTACGGAGGCTACCTCTCTTTGCACACACCAGTGATTAACCCACACAACCCTCTCAACCACTTAAAGACCTTTTTTGTCCCGTTAGAGGCAGAGGTTTCGGAGAACACTCCTGTCTTTCACGACCGTAAACAAGGGCAATCCCCCTAGACACACCCCCTCTGCAAATTGGCCCATTCAAAATGTCATCCAACCAAATAAATGGGTTACTCATTGCCGCTATATTGAACAGCACCTCTATATAGCATGCATGCTAAAGACACTGATCACTGCTGGCCTAAAAACACAGAAACCTGGTATTGCACATCGGGAATTAAGTATTGTACATGCTGTTCATTATCAGATAGTACAGAAACGGGTTGGCTGCATGGAGGTTGTCAGAACGCACGTGAATTAAAAGCCGTGACACACAGATATTTCTGTACGTGGTTCAAAATATCAGCCCTAGAGAAAAGGATGTAGAGGTTTGGTGGACTTACCCTTCGCTTGTTCTTGGGGCTTCGCTCCTTGGTCAGAGTGCCGAAGATACTGGGCTGCGGAGGGAGAGGAGAAGAGTGACAAGTTAAGTGGGATGACTCCGGGTGCTATCAACGCAGCACATCTTGGCACACCACACCATAACATAAATCTGGCACGCTGCGGGGTGAGGCCGTGATAGGGGATCACGGGACACCTGACTTGTACTTTCTCTCTCTCTGGTTTGAGATGGATCCAGATTTAACATCATGTGTCAATGTTTATTTCTGCAGGAATTTAAGGTGAATTATTTTCTAAAGAAAGGACAATAATAAATAAAAAAATATATAATTGATATAAAAGCCACAAAGCCTCCTGGTAGAGCCTTATAACTGGAGTGTACCATGTCATTTGAAGGGGGATATAGGGAAAAGAGTTTTTTTTCACGGTACTTCATGTTCGCAATTTTTGCAGTCACTTCTGTACTTCAAACTTATCATTGCCATTAAACAAAATAATAATTTGCTTTTTTTCTGCACCTTTCACCACAGTGAACATGCTTTCTGCGAACTTTTGCTACTGTGAACATGAGATGAATTACGGTATCATTCAGTTATTAAAAATGCATTGTATTTCTACTTTCTATTATCACACACGTACAGTGATGTTGATAAAGAATAAATCAGACTATAGAAAAGAAACACAGACAGACAGCATGTTCTGGTATGAAAATGTATACACAAAAAGGGCAAAGGGGTTAGGCAGCTGGAAAAAGACTAGGGGCATAGTTCTATTAGTGTATGTATCATAATATATTGACAACAGAAATATCAATTGACTACAGAAATATCGCAGTGCTCCAATTCTGTCATCCAAGCACAATATTACATGACAGTTATAAAGTTCCATTCATTAATATCATATGGCACATGAAGGAGAGGGATTTGAATGTTCTCACACTTGTCTGTCATCTATCACTATGCAATTGTGGCAGAAACCGTAACTTTTGTCTCATATTCAATTTCCTCCTCAAACAGTTTTCTGTGGAAAAATAGTAGAAATTTGTAAAATATACTGACTTAGGCCACACCAATTTAATTTCTTGGTTAACGGATTTCTCTAGAAAAATAATGGAGAGGGCGGGCGAAAAAAAATAAATGAAAACAGGCCTAGGCATCCTATTATGAGCCATATGAGGTCAAAACACCAGGCTGGTTCAAAATTAAAACAATGAATTTTGAACTTTTAATGATACCACTGCATTGAAAGATGGAATAACTGTAACAACTAGGATGAAAAGGACTGTTTTTAACTGTACAATATGAGCATTTTGCAGTTGATTCTGAATTTCTTTTTGCAAATCAGAAACAAAATGAAGCGGGCGAATCTGTGAACCAGGAAATTAAATTGGTGTGGCCTATGCAAGTGTGACAGAAACCGTAACTTTTGTATCATATTCAATTTCCTCTCGAAACATTTTCAGTGGAAAAATAGTAGAAAATCTGTGTAATAATCATTGCATTGTGTAAAATTGACATACTGTATTCATGTATTAAATATGAAATACCTAATCTAAACAATGTACTTTGAACATAACAACGTAATGTAAATACTATATGACATTGTGAATCTATCTTATGCCACATCCATACTTTCATATTTTTAGCAGCAATTTACACATGATATAACAAGAGTTCCACGATCTCATACCTTCGCCAAATGATGTTAACCCTTGTGGTTGACAAATTATACAGTTTTAATCATTGATTTTGTAAATAAGAGCCCCATTTGCATGGATTATATCAGTTGATCATATTCTCCACCCAATGACAGCTATTATAGCACTTCCTCATAAATTATGCAAATGAGGCCATGATTTGAATAAATTATGTTTGTTGATGTTCACCTTCACTTAACTTCCAAATGTGGCATGTATGAAATTCCCAGCAGTAACAACTATGAAATTATAAAAATTTGCCATTTATTATGCAAATTAGGTCCTCATTTACATAATCTATATCCTCAAATGTTTTTTCTCGTTCTCACAAGTGATGTCACAAGTGTTTCATAGTTCTATTATCGAACAAAGCAGATTTATAGAATTTCCTCATTAATTATGCAAATTAGCTCCTGATTTGCATAATTGTCATCTGATCATGTCAAGCATCACTTCAACTACCTACATACCAAAAATCACGACAATCCGTCAACCGGTTCTTGAATTATCCTCCTTCGACAAATTTTCAACAAATGCTCCTGCAGTTCCAGAACAAACCGCTAGGGGACCCAAACTCATGTCACTTCTTCCCTATCCCAAGAGCTATCTGCCATCCAAAATTCGTGACCCTAGCATGTCTAGATCACGAGATATCAAAACCGGAATTTCTGCTGCAGTACCTAGGAAAGCCGCCAGGGGGCCCAAAATCTAATCATTTCTAGGTCTCATGAAGACCTACCAACCTACCAAGTTTCATTCCAATCCATCCACTACTTCTCGAGTTATCTTGCTAAACCACACACACACAAACACACCCACACACAGACAAACGCTACTGAAAACATAACCTTCTTGGCGAAGGTAACAATAACAACATATGGAGTTGGGTAGGGCAAGCTGTCAAATGTAGCTTAGGTTTTCAATCAATCATACAGAATGTACAAAATTGTACATGTTAACATATTAAGCCACACAAACTTAATCAATTCGTTCTCGGATTCGCCTCATTGTTGTCTTTTTTTTATTTACAAAAAAAAAAACTGTAGGTTCTAAATCAACCCTAAAATGCTGATATTTTGACCCAAACTGTTAAAAAAGTCTATGTTTTCCTGGATGTTTAAGTTTTTCCATCTATCAATATACATGTAGTGGTTTCATTAAAAGTTCTAAATTCTATTGAACTAATTGAATTACAAAATTATAACAATCGGTTTTCCAACATTGACATTGAAAATGTCCTCATTGAAAGGTCCTCATGCAATTTTTACTTACAAAGTTACATTGTATGTTAAATGGTATTGTGTAATTTGGATCACTAGAGATTGTCAATGGAAAGTCTAAAAAAATCTGATAATCCTTATACCTACTGACCCTAATTTTTTTCAGGACTGAAACAGGAAACACAACATTATTTTTCCCAGGCCTTAACCCCTCCTACAGGGAGGTTGGAACAAGCAAAAATTATGGCTGAAACAACTGTTTTTATGGGTACATCTGTACATCAATACTCAAAGGACATTGACAAAGTGGGGTTAGGCCATACCAATTTAATTTCTTGGTTAATGGATTCGCCCGCTTCATTTTTTTCTGATTTGCAAATAAAAATAAAAATCAACTGCAAAATGCTCATATTTTGCCCTGAACAGTTGAAAACAGTCCTTTTCTTCCTAGTTGTTACAGTTATTCAATCTTTCAATGCAGTGGTATCATTAAAAGTTCAAAATTCATTGTTGAAATTTTGAACCAGCCTGGTGTGTTGACTTCATGGCTCCTATCGTACCATTTTGGGCCATAATAGGATGCCTAGGCCTGTTTTTTTTTTTTCGCCCGCCCGCTCCATTATTTTTCTAGAAAAATCCTTTAATTTAACCATGAAATTATATTGGTGTGGCTTTATCTGATGTAGACACTTTGAAAAGACACTTAATGACTTTTTGCTCCTTTTTCAACAGAATCCAGGCATACATATGTAGCAGCTAAACACTTCAGGGACAGGGTACAAATTTGATAAACACAATGCCAAGCAAATGTAGGTCATGAAAAAAATTATGTAGCAAGATATAATTTGATAGATGAAGTGAAATGGAATTTTATTGAACCGAAATATAATTCCTGGTATGGATTTATATGACAAAAACTGGAGCAAGGTGACATCTCATTTTGCGGTGTGAAGATGAAATTATAACTGAAAGAAACATTTAAAAGTAGCTACAACAAGACCTTCAAAATCTCAAAATGTTCATATCTTTTTGAACATTATCATCTTTGAAATTATTGATTCAGAAAAATGTATTATTTCCTCATGATCGAAGGATACTTACCTAAATTGAATCCACAAAATTCCCCAACACAATTATTTCCCTTCACTAACTGGATTTATCCTGCTCCTATTTTTGTTCCTCAGAAACTTGGAAGGCCTAGGAAGTGGGTGGGACTGGAACAATTGCGATGACACGGGGCATTTGTGTCATTTCCCCTGACACATAACACAAGTGGTGCAGTGTAACACGTACAACATGTACTTCCCTGTCATGGGTTCAACCCTGAAATACCTACAGAATAGTTTACAATTGAACATGTACAGTAATTGTACATGTAGATTTGAAATACTACCACATTAGATTTGAATACTAGTAAGTACCTAATACCAGCCCTAGAAGAGAACAAGAAACAGCCATGCCTTCAAGTACCAGAGTTATCAACCAAGGATTGAGGTGTTCAAGAATTCATTCTTTCCTAGAACTATCGCAGAGTGGAACTCACTGTCACCAAGTACAGTAGGGGCATTAGATAGGTTTAAACAATGTCTAGAGTTAGAAGTTCAAGGGTTAAGTCATCTTGTGGTATCTTCAAAAACCAAACTGAATTTTATTTTAACAGTTAAAAACTCAAATCTATAATCTGTCTCAAAATATGACTCCAAAAAGTTAAAAACAATCTGATGTTGTTGTTGTTGTTATTTTGGCATTCAATGAGATTGCATGGCACTGAATTATTGACAAGTATCAAACTGATTACTGTAAATGTTTCTAAATTGAAAGGAATTTCTAAATTGAAAGAAATTCTCTTGTTAATTTTAATATTTCTTCGATCTCAGATGGACAAATTCAGTTTATGATATCTACTATAATGTAATGTTATCACATTGAGCAATTTGGAAAACAAACATTAACCAATAGATAATACAATACTGTAAACCTACCTTAAATGCCTTGAAACGAACACAAGAAAATAACAGTAACGCAGTACGTGAGGTCCCAAAGCTTGAGAAGCAATTCTTAGAACTGGGTCTCCTTGACTCACATCTCAGAACGTTTAAAATACTACGATAACTGATAAACCACACTGGCCAATGACTGC